ACAGATGGACAAATTATTCTGCAACTTCAATTTAAAAAATATATATGTATGTATATATATATATACATATATATATATATGTATATATATATCTATTTCACCTTCCAGATATATATTTCTTCTCTCAAAGTTTTGATGAGTTATTTCTTAAAATCTTGTCTTTTTAAAACGATTCCTTGAAAAGTTGGTCTTAAAAACCAAATAATACTTTTCAAGTGGCTTTTAAAGCTCTTGGTTCAAATTACCATTAAATATTATCCTTAAACCTTAGATTTCTTCTTCATGAAAGATAATCCTTTTGTTATTTATTCTAGGATTTGCTTAGATGGAGAAGATCAACGTTGAGAATATTGGACTGAATTCCTAACCCATTATCCTAATCTTTTGTGTGTGTGTGTGTGTGTGTTTACAGGGACCAAGAAGAAAAGGACAACTGAGTTACAAAAACAATAGTCAGTCAGCTCAACCTTTAATGGTGAGTACCACCTTTACTTTCTCTTCAGAAAAATAATGACCAATTTGCAAATATAGCTTTAAGAACCATCAAAGTATGTTTTGTTCTCATATACCCTATAGTCACTAATTTTGTTACACATATGTGTGGCTTTTCAGCCATAAGTTTTTGTCTTCCCTGTTGTTTATTTTTTAGAATGGGACATGGAAATATCCCTCGTCCTTTCCTTGATGATAGACAAGTAAGAGAGAAAGAAATCCCAAGTCATGTCCATACGCAAAAAGTAACTGCAACTAACTTTGCCAATACATTCTGATTCCTGTGAGCAGCATTAACAGTATATCAAAAAGTGATTCTGACTGGAGTCTGCAGATGTTCTATCATTGTGTATCTTCCCTGATGGTGGAGATTAGAAATTCTGACCTCTGCTGTCCAGCTGAAGAATAGACTCTGCCTTTAAACAGTGACTTGCCAATTGCCTCATCCAGCCTGTGTTGATACAAACATCTCAGTAATTGAGGAAATCTCCGTGGCTTTCTCTTTATAAGAGCTAATCACACCATGCTAGGTTGCTCAGGGACTCTTTGTGGTTGGCGTCCTCCTCTACCTGACTTACTTTTGCTTCCCAAGTCCCTAAACTGTCCATTTATATATTTTCTTGCTCTTCTCCTGACTAAACCCTAGCTTCATTCCTTGGTTAAAGACTAAAACTACAGTTCATCCAACCCCTAACTTGTTAGTATTCTGGCCTCGGCATTCAGAAATGACTTAATTTTACTTTTCCACCCAGCCTGCTGACCGCTCCTCATTCCCCCAGTCACCCACATCTGTGAACCAACCTTTTGGGTTTTCTGTAATTGCTCAGCTGCCCAATTTCTTTCAGCTTATCTCTCCTTAGATTTTCCCTAATCATCATCATCTACTTTTCTGAAGGTCACCTTCTCTTTTTCAAGTCCAGCTTCCTAAAGATGTGAGGCCCACCATCTCCCTATTTTTTCTGAGGAGCTTTATAGACAGCTCATATAGGAACATGGGAACATAAAGGGATTCATCCCAGTCACCTCATTTTAAGATCAGAGGAACTAAATCTGTACCAAGTTCTACAAATTTACCTGGTGATCAACCACAGACCCCAAAGCTAAATCAGCCCTTGGAACTGCCAAGAGCTTGAGAGGCCAGCCTTGGCCCCCAGGAAAATAATTCATGTTCCCACACTTCTTAGACTTCTGTGGACCCACTGAACCTGGAGGTTGTGGAAAAGCAAAGAACACAGTCTGAAATCTGCCACACACATTAGCAGCCAGCACTTCCACAAGTCAATTCCCTTTATTCCTTACAGGCAGAGGGAATTAGCCTGAATCCCAAATCTGCATTAGTTGGCACATAACCACATATGAGCTGGCACATTATTATACAGTTAAACAAGATTTTTTTGTTAGAAAAAAAAATTGTTCTGAGTCTTCTCATTGTTTAATGAGTAACATGATTTTGGAACAGGTTTTTAGCTTCTGCTGTTCTTCCTCAGTTATTTTGCTTAATTGCTATAGTCACAAATTTGTTCAATAATCCTCTCTGGGGAAGACTCATGAGTAGGTGTGATTTGTTGGTTTGCTTTTACCTACCCTGTTTTGAAAAATTCTAGTCCTCTGAAGGTTGTCTTCTTTCCTGATAGACAAATACAACTTTTTTGAGGAAGTGAGTTCTCTATTGCAGTCAGCTCTGAGCCTGGCACGTCTGCTAATAGATTCTTGTTCAGGGACAAAGTCTTCATTCAGTTCTCATTGATATTCGTGGCCATTCCTTGAGACTTGTTACAGTACACACTTGTATAGCATTCCATGATTTTCAGATTGCCTTGTTTGAGCCAGCTAGGTGGGCTGATAGTTTATCTCCATTTTATGGTTGAAGAAACTTTAGCTCAATGAGATGTAATGGCTTACCCAAAGGCATGTAGATAGTAAGACTCAGAGCTAAGATGAGAATCCCTGGTGTGAAGTCAAAGCTCTTCCACACCACTATGCTAATCAAACACTGAGATCATCCTTGTCTTATATTGCTCCTCAAACATGTCAGAAAGGAAAAAGTATCAATAACTAGGACTAGAAAAGATACTTTTATTCACCACCACTGACAAAAAAGGTGTTGGTTATGTGAGAAGACTAAGACTGCTCTATCTAGCAATAAAGAATCAGGTTCTATTTCCAAAATCGTTAATTTAACAAAGTGCCAATTATTGGCTCAAACATGGCAAATTAAAGCTCAGTCTCAGGTGTCTTTGACTGCTAATCACATTTCTATGCTACAACTAATTAAAACCATGCAGCTGTACCTAGAGTCACAGCTCTCAGATGTTCCTTTCCCCAGTAACTTGGCAGGAGTGTGTGGGAATTCTATTGGGTGTCTGTGAACCAGAGAGGTGGGTTCTGCCACAGATTGCCTCCAGAATAGAACTTTCCACAAATTTGAGAACTCTAGAAGGGCAGATCACTTCCCTGTGCCTGCCAGCTGCCACATGAACTACTGGAGTTGCTCAGAGACTCAGAGGAACCTAGGGTGGGGCCGGAAAGGAGAAGGAACAGAAATGGAACTTGGCCCCTGTCAATAGCACTGTCCTCAAGGACCTAGGGATAAAGACCCAGGCTGCCAACATGGGATATTAACTTTAGGACCATCTATCCCCTAGATGAAATGTTAGGTAAACAAGGATAAACTAATAGCTGACAGGGAAAATTTCTCATACCCAGGAGCACTAGTGTGTAGGATACTCTGCTGTCCTGATCTCGTACTGTTCTGCAAGGTCTGAATTGGGGTGTCCTTCCAGCCTTGAGGCCCTGACAAGAATCCTCTATATTAGTTCTTTCTTCTAGGGCTAATTTTTGTGAGTAATAGTCAATATTTAACTGCCTGAAAAGAGGAGCTAATATTTTATATTCTCTAACATGAAAGAATTTCGAATGTTTAATGGTTAAACATTCTGGTGTCAGCGTTTTCTGCCTAAATGTTGTTTATTCTTCCCACCTCCTTACCTTTCTGAGTCCTCCAAGTGAGCTATATCCAAAATTCTCTGGTGAGTTGAAGTTTCATGAATATTTGCTTCCCACGAACTACTTTCTTCAAAGTTTGTCTGTCACCACATCCCGGAGGGTGACGGTTAGGAAGGATGGAGCTGTGGAAAGAACTGTGAACCTGTGATCTGGATGCCTGACCCTGCTGGCTCAGAGAGGGCCACAGCAAAAAAAACCACAAAAAAAAAAAAAAAAAAAAAAAAAAAAAAACACCTGCTGCAAGCATGAATGTGCCAGCCCCACTCCCACACAGAGGGACAGAGAGGACATCTCAGGTGGGATGGCCCCTGCCAGGACCCTAGAGAGGACACAAGTCAGTTGCACACAGAAAAAGCAGCTTTTCCAGTGACATGTTCATGTATGTTACTTGATCTATTTTAAACCTAGAGGATATCTTAGATATTAATGGAAAAGATAATTTTGTACTAAAGGGTGAGAATATGTAGAAATGGATCATTAAGCTGTTTACCCCAGGATTATTTGTATCTTCATATTTTTCACCCCTCCTGTGACTGTCCTCCATCCATGGTTATGTTCAAGATCTGCTACGTCCAGTTCTGAATTTCAGATTCCTAGGAAGAGACGGCTGTGGCATCTCTACTTTGATTGCTGTCATGGTTCAGTACTGACAATGTGTATTGTATTTCACAAAAATTCCCCCATTTTGGTTGTTTTGTGCAGGTCAGCCACACATCTAGAGAGCACAAGGATGACTAAAGTGGCACAGCCGGCCCATGGATACAGCAGAGGAAGCTGCGGCAAGCAAGAACATGGTTTCTTCTAGAAAAGAGAATCATAAGGACTTTAATGTAACCATTTCTTAAAGGAGTCGTGAAAAAGAAGACAAGTGAAAACACTTATTTTCTAGGTTGCCAAGAAGAAAAGCATTGGTGAAAAGCAAAGCCACCATTCTTCTTTCTTCACATAAAGTTCCCAATCACTAATGTCAGTTTTGTCGGCCCCACTGGAAGGTCTAGAGCTCCTGTCATAGTGGCAGATGCATTTTTCCAAAACCTTGTGCTTCAGAAATTCTGAAGATAGAGATCTGATTCTTTACGCTTGGAATCTGTCTCCTTAAAGTATGGGCTAATTTAGCTTCCTCGAAAATGGAAGTGATAATAAGTGAGGTTTCTATGGAGTAACTAGTTGGAAGTTTTAAAAACTACCTACAGGTACCTATTCCACCAAAATAGTCTCTTTGTCCAGCTTGTGATACTACGTCCCATGGACCGGAAATGCAAAGGGATAAGGATCTTTTAATTAAATCATGTGATGGAACTACCCTTTCAAAAGCCATTCTCCCTTCTTTTTATTTAGTGGTCTTATCAAGAGATTTAAAAAAAAAAATGAAGAGCTCTCTTGCACTCTTAAATATTGACCTGTCCGCTGTTAGAATGTCTGTTTGCTTCAGTTTCTGAAAACAAAACCTGTATATACCTGTGGCTCTGCTTAATTTAAACTGATCTATTGTATTCATATAGCACACGCAGGAAGATGGGGCATGTGCAGCCTTGGAATGTGAAGAGGAGTAAGAAAGGTGAGGACATTCTCCTAACTTGTTTAGAAAAATAAAAGTCAAATAACTCAACAATCCACCAGTGGAGACCATTGAGTTTGTTTTACTACATCGAAACACCTAGAGCTAAACTTACTCTAATTTTAAGGTCACATTCCTAGGGATTCAAGCATATACTGTACTCCCCTGCAGCTCTAGTCACAGGAGCCAAAAGGTGGTGGCCACCATGTCATCGAGAGGTGAATAGATTTTTAAAATGTGGTGTACATTTGCAACAGCACTTTCTATTAAAAATGAAATTCTAATAGATGCTACAGCATGAATGAAATTTGGAAACATTGTTATGCTTAGTGGACTAAACCATACAGAAAAAGGACATGTACTCTAAGATTCCATTGATCTAGGTAGGAGAATAAGTCAACTCATAGAAATGGATAATACGAGTTTTCTAGGGACCAGGGAAAGGTAGGGATGAGAAGTTGCTGTTAACAAGTTGTGGGTATACAAGGCTCTTTTCAAGTTAGACAGGAGCAGGATACTTGATGGCAATAGGTCCACATGACAAGATAAGACCAGGAATGCCCGGGGGCTGGCATCCCAGGGGCTGATGGATGGAAAGCTTGGTTAGTCAGATTGGCGCCATGGGCTGCGGTGGGAGTGCATCAGCAGACTCACCCTCCCTAAAGCCCTAAGGGTAGACTTCAGTTTGACTCACCTTTCTTTGTCAATGAAAAGGGCAGGATCTTGCTCTTAGCAGCATCCTGTGTCCAGCATTCTGCATCCAGCAGCCTGCAGCCTACAGCCTACAGCCTGCTCCATGACTCCTGTTTCTTTATTCCTGTGGTGTTGCTGACACAACAAGTATAGAATCTTGTTTCAGGATAATGAAAAAGTTCTAGAAATGGATAGTGATGCTGGTGCACAATATTGTGATTGTATTTAATGTCACTCAATTGTGTCTTTAAAAAGAGTTAAAATGGGACCCTGGCTGGTGGTGCAGTAGGTTAATCTGCAGCATTGCAAGCTGGCAGTAGCTGCCTCAGTGCGAGTTTGATCCTCTGGCCCAGAGGTGACCCACATGGCACAGCAGACCTCTCCTGACCAGCCCGCTGCTCCCCCCAGTGTATCTTATCAATCTGCCTGCTCTGCTCCCCACTCTGTCGCCAGAGAAGCCTCTCACTGACTCTGGCCTGTATCCCAGTTCTGTATGAATAAATAAATAATTTTTTTAAGAGTTAAAATGGTAAAAAAAAAAAAAAACCTCTAGTAAAATGTAATTAGTAGTTCATTTCTCAGCCTGAAGCATCTGAAAAGACATCCATTTTCTGACAAAATAATTTGTCATGTACTTTCGGTTTGATGTAAAGAGCAGATTACCTCATGACGATGGCCGAGCGCGCAGGCAGACAGCCCTCCCCCTGAAGCTACAGCCAGAGAAAACTTAAAAGCAAACGTGACTCCAGTGCCCATCACGCCGGGAAGACAGGGTGTCCCAGGAGAACGTGTCTAAAGGTTGGTGGCTAGGCACTTGATGGGGGGGGAAGGTGAAGATACCTATCAGCACCCCAGAGTGCTAGACAAACAGTAAGGACCCCTCACCTTGCCCCCATGATAGAAACAGCAGTCACACGGAATCAGCGGCCTGAAGAGTTTCCAGTCTCCAGGCTGCACCGAGGCATTGTTTCCTCATTCTTGGGACTCTTAACACCTAGACTTGTGTATTTTCGGAAATCTTTCATAGCACCTTAAGGAACTTGGAATTAATAGGCATGATCTTTGAGTCACATATTGGCTAAATTGCATGACCTGTGCTGCCTGTTTCTTGGTTACTATAGAAACTGTAGTAGCCGGTGTTGTGAGGAGGCTGTGATGCTGCGTGAGTGTATATGATGGACGTGAACTTATTTTATGGCTTATAATTTTTTCCATCAGTCTCCATTTGTGATTACCGTGTTCCCACCGGGGCTATCACACCCACCAAAGTGCTCTGATTGCTAGCGGGGAAGTAATCTCACCTGTATCAGACCCGCCCCCACTCCAGCCTTCTGCTTGCTTCCCTCCCTCCAAGATTGGTAACAGAAACAGAGAAGTGGCATGTGAGGTTCAGATGTTTCCAATTATCCTCTTCAGGGCGCAGGCAGAGTTTTCTTAAACCCAAAGCATGTTTCAACTCAAATAGTTCTCCTTGTATTTGAAGACTGTGTAGTTTCAGCTACAAGTATCTGATTCATGGACACTTTATCAATAACTTAATATCTCCTCTGAGCTCCTCCACACAATCGTTTCCTCCCTGGGTGGTCAAAACGATGGTTACCTTTAAGTACAGCTGACTATTGTGAAGCACACTCTCAGAAAGAATATAACCTTTTGTCCTTACCAAGAAAAGCAGTAAGCGCAGTGCTGGGATTTGCAGAGGATTCCTTGTTGGTGACATCACTGCCTCAGTCTGCAGCTGCCTCAGCTCTCTGCTCAGAGACCAGCACACAGGTGGGGAGTTAGACCCACCTCTGCTGCTATCAGTCATTAACAGCCTAAATGTTAATTCTCAAACATTACCGTTCCGGGGGATTAAGCAAAAGAATGTGGTTGGAGTGTTTTATTTTCCTTAGTTCTGTGAATGAAAGCTCTGTGGTTGATCTTTCAGGCTTAGGCAGCCTGAGAGAGCAGGGAGCTCTATCTGCTCTGAGGGCCCTGATATTTACCACTTGCCATAGTCCTGTGCAAGTTAACAGCAGCGCTCTGCTTATTATAACTTTATAGGAATTGTGAGGATTGTTTCATAAAATATTTGAGAAATGAACATTGTTACTTCGTGTTGAGTTAAATCATTTAACTACAAATGATTTAAGTCCATGAATTACAGAAAAGCCAAGACTTTTTTTTTTTTAAAGATTTTTTTTATGCTTCAAAACTAGGGTACAGGCCAGAGTTGTGGTGGGTGAGAGGATTCACCAGAGACAAAGTGGGGAGCAGAATGGGCAGATCTACTGAAATACACTGCTGTGGGAAGCAATGGGAGAGACAGGAGAGGTCTGCAGCACCATGTGGGTCATCTCCCTGGCAGGGGATCGAACTTGTGCTGCAGTGGCTTCGCAGAGCTTCATAATGTGGTGCTTTAACCCATTGCACCACCAGGGAGAGCCCAAGCCAAGACTTTTTATATCACTGAAAGTGCCCCTGAATAGGTGAACATGTTAAGTCACACCTCTGCACTCCTTAGCATGCTCCAGTGTGCTCGTGGGCTCTCTCGCTCTCTCGCTGTCTCTGTCATTCTCGCTGTGGCTGTCGCTCTCTGCTCTCTCACAGACACAAGCACACACACATTTTATGATTTTGGCAGGAACAGTAAAAGAAAGGATTAAAGAATAAACATTGTTCTGATGATGAAGTGTTTTTGGTTAATTGCCAATGAGCTTTGAAGAGAAATCCAATTTTTCAGATTGGTATCAGGGCCAGAAAACTTTCAGAGGTAAACTCCTACCATTCTTGGCACCCAATCCAAGTCCCTAGAATCTAACCATCTGAGTAAGCTATAAATATGTGGCAACAATATGACTTTGTGTTTAAGATAATGTAAATGGTGACTGCTCAATCTTTATGTCGATGAAAATACTGTCTTGAACGATTTCTAGTGTGTTCGTATTCATTGGAATCCATTATAAGACAAACAAGATACCAGTAGGAATTTTGTTTTATTTTTAAAGTTTTACTTTTCTTATACTGTGCTTTTCTTGGGCTAAAGATAGTTTTAGTTTGTTGAATGCCATGAAATGATCAGTCTGTTACTTATATTTTACAGCAATGTGAGAAAAGGTAAGCGTTTTGAAATTGTTTGGAAACAATGGTGTCTGTTTTGATTCAATTGTGCATGTGTCTGTATGATACTGAGACAGTGGCGAAAATTTTCCTTTAATAAGAGGGCCACATGATCACCAGGTAGCCACATTTTGCCTTAATATCAACAGATTATAAAGGTGAGTGATAATACTCTTATCTACCTTCTACCTACCTCATGCACTGTTTTATATTACTGAACTAACAATCAATTTGAGTTCATATTTAGAAGGAGAAACATACTTTTGTGGTGGTGGTAGTTTCTTCTGTTGTACAAAAGTTTTTCATTATGTAGTCCCACTAATTTAATTTTTCTTTTATTTCTCGTGTTAATGGGGTGAGATCCCCAAAGACATCTCTAAGGCCAATGTCAAAGAGCATATGACCTGTTATCGCCTATGCATTTTATGATTTGGAATCTGATCTTGAAAGTCTTCTGCTTTGAATTAATTTTGTGTCTGGAGTTGGTGGTCTAGTTCATTCTTATGTTTGTGCATAAGTTTTCCTACCACATTAATTGAAGAAACACGTTTCCCTCATTGTTTGTTCTTGGCTTCTTTCTCACATGCTAATTCTCCATATACTGTGTGGGTTTAGTTCTGGGGTTTCAATTCTGTTCCATTGATCTGTGTGCCTGTTTATGCCAATAGCATGCTGTTCTGGTTACTGTTGCTGAGGTCAGTTTGAAGTCAGGGAATGTAAAACCTCCATTTTTGCCCTTTTATTCAGAATTGTTTGGTTATTCAAGGCCTACAGTTCCAAGTAAATTTCATAATGTTGTTGTTCTATTTCTATGACAGATGCTATTGGGATTTTGATAGGGGTTTTGTACTGAATCTTCATATTGGTTTAGGTAATATGATTGTGGCCTTGTTCTAAAACCTTCACTGCGAGCAATCACAAAAAAATTTATGTATTTATTTTTGACTTGATGTTGCCTTTTGAAATTCAACTAGGAGTGTTTGGCACAAGCTTGAAAATAATGTTCAATTGGTAGACTCATGTTTCAAAGCACGGTATCCCAGCAAGCAAGAATCTATGCCCTCCTTATCTTTATCTGAGATATAGTGTGAATTTAATTACAACAAGGAAAGTCTGGTTTGAAATGTTCCTGGAATCATTTGTTGGCTGTGAAGATTATATATTACCTCTTAATTCCTGATCCACCATTCTAGAGCCCAT